TTCTCCATAGGAATGCATTAAACATGTTTTAATGCATTCCTATGGGCTTTTTTGCCCCACATAGCGACGAATCTGTATAGCGATGATTTTTTCGGAACGGATTATCGTCGTTATGCGGGGCACCACTGTACTTAAAACATGGTGATTAAGGGTCTGTTTAGAGATGTGTGTTTACACTTTTTCTAGCAGTTCTTTACAATTCCTGTTAGCTTTTAGACTGGTTAACAAGAAGCATTGTCATTATGATTACATGATGGTGAGATTAATTTACCTATTTCTATTTCTTTTTTTTAAAACTGTAATTGAAGGGAAAGTTTCCACAGATTGCAAGGTTGAGTTAGTCTCTTGTTCCTTGTTGGTGATATAGGTTGGAATCTACTGATACCAAATAAAACTTGACCATCGTTGTAGTAATGTTTTTTATTTTTTAGCAGCTTCTTCAGTTGTAAGGAGAATTATATCAGCTGTTGTATTCATTTTATGTTTCATTTCAGCTGTGTTTCCAGAGGAGCTTGGAACTAGTGTTCCTTTAACTACTGCTGAGAGCAGATCATTATTATACAAACCTCTGGATGGAGAATGGGGTTCTAGGACTCGCGATGATGAATGTGAAAGAATCATATCGGGAATAAACCAGCTGATGACACTAGGTAATGTCGAATGTAAAAGAATAAAACAGCACTGATCTGCGCTCTAAATACCGTATATATACAAGTTGCCCCAAATTGTTGTAAACATTTTCTTGGGCTTTGTTTTTTTTTTAAGCACTTACTGAAGTACTGTTACTAAGACCACTCTGGTACTTTTCCTACTTGCTGATTATTTTTATGCAGGAAAATGCCATGTATAGCCTGGACTCATTTGAGTCATTACATACAATTAATATTTAGTAAAAAATGTCTACTTCTCCTTGTTGGAAAGCTTGTAGAAATACTACCTGTTTTCTTTATACTCTTCTTCAAGCACCATAAAAATTACTTCTGATAGTATTGTAATTACATCTTTGTTTCCATTTTTAGACATTGCTTCTGCTTTTGTGGCTCCCGTGGATTTCCAAGCTTATCCCATGTACTGTACCGTTGTTGCATATCCTACTGATCTCAGTACAATTAAGCAAAGACTGGAAAATAGATTTTACAGGTTTGTTCTAAGATTTTTTGTTTGTATTGTTAGAAAAACCATCAGACATTTTGTGTATAGTTTTATGTTGGTCAACAGTAAGCAAACTGTGGTTTTCCATATGTTATTTTATACGAATCCTGGCCAACATTAATTAATGGCAAGGAATGCTGGGTACTACATTCCTACAATATCTGGAGATTCTTCACCCATATTGTTGTTAATCTTGCTATGTCCAGTAAAGTTTCCAACCTTCGGTCCCCAGATGTTCTTGGACTACAACTCCCAGAAATCCTGCCTACCACCAGTGGTGAAGGCTTCTGGGAGTTTTACTTGAAGAACGTCTGGGGATCCAAGGTTGGGAACCATTGCCTAGCCTATTTTGGATCAAGCTAGGTGACCCAAAATGGGTTGTTTTTAAAAAGGATTTCTGGATGTATTTTCTTTCTCATTTAATATTATTCATGTAAGTGAGTTAATATTGATTCATTTTAAAATTGCAGTCTTGTAACTGCTTAAAATGCAGTTCTGGCCATTGACACGTCTCTACGTTAATCATATATTAATGATACATACTGTACATAGAGCACTTTTTGGAGCATGCCCGGATATTTCAGTTGTTTCCTGGTGGTTCATAGGTGCCATGTACATGGAGACTGTTACTGTTGCTCTTGCCTCCTGTTTGTTTCCAGATATAATTCAAAGTGTGGTCCTAACGGTTAAAGTCCTGCTTGTTTTAGAATACTGTCCCTTTCCTGCCTGTACACCAGTTAAGAGTGTCTTGGGAAATCTTCTGGGGCAGTAGTCTCCAACCTTTTTGTCACCAGGGACCAGTTTAGTTGAAGACCATTCTCCCAAGGACTTGGGGTGGTGGCGTTACTTGTAATGCAGTAGGTTGTTGGAGGAGAGCAGCAGCTTAGAACTTAATAGGAGCAGAGACTTATATTAGATTTCAGTACCTTAAACATAGGTGATCTAGAAGCAGCAGGAGGGGAGACTTCTTTGCCAAGATTCCCCAAGATAGGCAGGCAGCCCACTTCAGAAGAAATGTAGCCTTCAATATGCAAGATTCCCCAAGATAGGCAGGCAGTCCACTTCAGAAGAAATGTAGCCTTCAATATTAAACATACTTCAGCAGTTGGGAATTGTACAATGCAGTGGTCTACACAGGTAAATAAGGGAAGGAGAGAAGCATGCCACAAAGTGCAACTCCTGTAAATATCCCCACATCACAACACCCGGTTATCACCGGCATGGCATTCAGAAGGAAGCGCACACATGCCCTGCTAACTGCATCACACACGGATGCAACTGACACTACAGCCTTGAGTCCCCGTCCCCCCCCCCCGAGGCACCTCTCCCCCTCTGGGAGGCTGCTGCCAGTGGCGCCTCTCCTGACCCAACATGGCTGCCCCAGCTGGTCTTTTTTCACGCTCCTGCTCTTTCCCCCACAGAGCTTGTGGGGGTCACTGTTTTTCTTCATTAAACTTTCTATTCCTGTTTCCTGTTAGTCTCCATGAACGTCCATAAAATATAGCTACATTAAAAGGGAATATGTAGGAGGTTAAGGAAGGGCCTGTTTTAAAAATAATGTTATCTCTTTTGAATCTCCTGTTGTTCACATAGCATGCTTGTGATGTGAGTGAGACAACAAGCACATGCGAAGTTTAATTTGCATGAAAGATGAGAACTGAGCCCTAGCTGCCAGTGCTAAGGCTCTAATGTGGAAATTATGCTCTGGTAAGAACCAAGAGGATGCACAGAATGTGTGTCTCAACACTAAAAACAATAGCTGAGGTTAGGAAGCACAGAATGTCTAAATTACTGTTCTTCCTATTATGTTTGGATGCAAGCATTTTAAAAATGAAGCATTGATCATTGTCTCCACACTCTGTCTGACTTTGGGAAATTTTTAAAAATTTTTTTTCAGATATTTGAACACACATACACGCACTCATTCCAAATATGATTTTTTAGCATTGATGTATTTGTCCTTCTCTGTTTCAAAGGCGACTTTCTTCACTTATGTGGGAGGTTCGGTACATAGAGTATAATACACGGACGTTCAATGAACCAGGAAGTCCCATTGTCAAATCAGCCAAGTTTGTCACAGATCTTCTACTGCACTTCATCAAGTAAGCTAATAAACTGTTCCAACATGATATTAGTTGGTAAGGATGTCAGATTATTAGAATTACTTTTGAATATTTTTAAAGCTCCTGAGATTGCAAGCATCTCAGTATTGCTTTCATACTGATAAGCATCTTCAGAAGCTATATTAATTGAAAGCAGCAGTTAAAAATTAGGTTGCCAAATTTGCTTATACATGTACTTTGCATCTTGTGTTGTAATGCACCAAAAGTGTTGTAAGAAATTGTTGTGGTCCTTTTTTTGGTGTCAGCGTTAAATAGATAGCTGCATGCCATAAAACTGTTTAGTAAGAAGAAGACTGTTTTCTGTGAGATATGTAACCAACACAAGATAAGATTATTTTGCTAACAGACTCTATCATTTCGATTTTCTACTATTATAACTGATAGGCAAGTTCCTTCTGTTCCACTTACCCCAGATAATTTGAGTATTTACTTTTTATGTTTAATAACTAATGCATATTTTAAATCTATAGTACAATTGAAATAGAATTTAGTACAAGAATAACAAATAATTACATTGCATAATTTTTGCAAACAGAGTAGATGGCTTTTTCATGAATACTCAAGAATCTATTGGAAGAATTGTTCAAGAATCCCAGAATGTATGCAAAATATTTTATGCAGTGAATATTATCTTCCATGCTAGCTGAAGAAAATATTTTTAAAATTGTAGTTTAAGACAGGTGACAAGAATTTTTGAATTTTTCCCATTTTTTAAAAACCCCTTCCCCAAACTGTGCAGTATATTGAACATTGAACTGTTGGACTAACAGAAAATCTATTCAACTGCAGATGTAAATAAGATGATTAACACACATTGTTTGCCTTGAACAGAGATCAGGCTTGCTATGACATAATTCCACTTTATAATGCTATGAAGAAGAAAGTCTTGTCTGATTCAGAAGAGGTAAGTTAATTCAGCATGCCACTGTGTTTTGTGAGAAAGGAGACCTTTTATTCATGCAATACATTCCTGCTTTTCAGATCAGAATTCTTTCTCAAAAGATTTTGTAGCAATTTAAATCAAATATAAATAATTATAAATGCCATATCAAATGCTACTGGTGTGATGGCTCATTGGTAAGAGCTGGTCCAATCAAATTGAAGAATGCCTGGAATTAGCATCTCACCCATCTTGATCTCAGCAATGATAGTTGCCAGCTTTGCCTGAAACTGGCCCCCCTTCTTTTCCAAACCCTGAAGAGCCATGATTGCTATGATCTGTGGCATGAGATTATGATGTAATTAGTTGTTCTTGCTACTTTGAGTTTTTCATGTTCTTCTGCCATGCATTTATCTGTTGTCTGTGGCAAAGACCTGTGAAAGTATTCTGCTTGTATACACTCAGGCATGCAAATCTGTCCCAAATCTAATGCTTCTCTGATACTTGTATACGTCTTAGGCATTCCACAAATAAATAGATCTTATTCTAAGAATGTTGCTTCCTGGAAATTCTGTCTTCAGGATGAGAAAACTTGTTATGGGGCAGATGTGAGCTGTATGCTTTTGTCCACACCTGCTTGATAGTATACTAAAAGTTGCCTGTTTAGTACTTTTTATGTTGGTATGACAAAAATATAAAGTACTCTCATACATGCTGAGATCATGTTCCTTATAACCATACTACAGCTGGCTACTTTCAAAGTTAGCCACCAGTTAGAAATATTGAGAATGTTTCCTCATATTCCTATGCTAATAGGCCTTGCAATAAAGAGATGGGATGGATGATGTCAGTTGTCGTTCTTGTTGCTCTAAGCAAAGAAGTGCTGTCTGTAGTAGCAGCAGCAAGCACAAGCTGTACATGTGGTTGATGTACTACCTGAATGTCAGTTTTTAAATAGAAAAATGTAACAAGAGGGTCAGATCTACAGTTTCTAAATGGATGGGGGAGCCAACTATAAGTGAATAAATGTAAGATTGTACCATATGCTTGATTTGTTTTTCAAATGTCTTATTAGTTTTAAATCCCATGAGTAATATTTCATTGCTTAAAGGAGGAAGAAAAGGACATAAATATGCCAGGCACTTCCACAAGAAAGAGGAAGGTAATTTTTGTTTTATATGGCAGATTTCTGTTTTCGTTGTGGGTGAAACTGGAACACACACTTTATTCTCAAGGTTATTCTACAGTGTGTATCTTCATATTTAATAATATCATTTTCCAAAATTTCTCTAAAACTATTTAATAATTTTTTACTGTCACAGTTTCTCAAACGGCATGCTGAATCATAAAACTAAACTGGCAACAAATGTACAGTAAAAGAGATGGATTCTACTTTATGGTTAGGAGCTAAAAATGACTTGTAAGTCCAAACAGATCCTAAGGTTTATGACTGGTGCACAAGAGCCAAATGGTTAGTAAATCACTGTAAAAAATACAAGCTAGGATCTTATTCACTGGAATTACTTGTTAAGGATGTGCACTTTCATTTTAGTTTTTGCTTCAGGGATGTGTGTATCTTTTGTGCTGAGGATTTTTGTGCACTAGGCCTTTCATTTACCATGAAAGGGACCACCTCTTTTGGGTTATTCTAAAAACTACCTCCAAACAGCAGGGGCAGTGCAACCGAGAATCATTCTACTCCAGAAATAGGCAGTAGTGCAACTGACAATCACCACTACCAAAGAAAATAGTTTCCAAAAAACCCACAAAAATATGAACCTTGAACAGAATAAACATATAGTAAATTAACCAAATAACGATTTTGGAAATTCATTCAAACAGGGAAAGTATCCCCTCCCCCACAGGGTGAAAAAAATAGCACCCACAGCCCCCTGTCCCAAACATCAAGAAAGCAAGCAAACAAATAAAGGGAACAAAAGAGATTTTTCTTGTTCTCTTTCTCTCTCTGAGTCCAGCATATATCAGAAGGCAGGCAGCAAAAATAGTCCAAGAAAAGAAAGGACCAAAGAGGGGGAAAATATAATAATAATCATCATAATTCCAAATAGGCACACTGGCATGCTACCAGGTGGCAATCAGACAAATATCTAAAGAAATAGGGGGAAATGGTGTAGCTCCTGGCACAGGCAGCACAAGATGGAAGATGCTAGGAGCTTGCACCCCCAACAAGGAGCAAGGAAAACAAATTTCTGTATGTCCACACACCCCATGACATTCTGATTGATAGCCTACAGCAGCCCTCATGATAATATTGATTGAAAAATTTCCTGAGTTTTTTACATACAAAGGGTGAAAACGAGTTTAGATGAAAAAAAAACAAATAACACATACCGTATTTTTTCACTCCATATGACTCACCTCTCCATAAGATGCACCTCATTTTTAGGGGAGGAAAACAGGAAAAAAATATTCTGACTGTGCCATCTCTAGGCCCTAGGCTTCAGATGTCTCTAACCTTCTTTAAATTCAAAGGAAGGGAGCAGGATAACGCTCTTGATTTATCCATAGAGTCTCTAGTCATCTGCATGAGGTGCTTCCCTCTGCAAGGTCTACAAACTCTTCCAGAAGTTAAGAAAGATGGAAGTGTGGGATGAGGAAGGAAGGAAGTTAAAGTCCTACTGGTTGGTAAGGATACAGGGAAGAGAGTGAGCAGATGAAAATGCATCAGACTGGCAAAAGACCAGTGAGAATGAAAAAAAGTGGTGGGGGGGAAGATCTCAGCTAAGAATGTGATAGACACTTATGGACAAAATCCATCATTTTTAGAGGTTCATAAAAATAAAGGCAGAGTGATCGTTATGGGCAAAAATAATGAATGGCTGATAATGCTGTTCGGTCTGTAAGTTGGATATTGAGTCTAAATGTATGCTGTGGCAAGTACAAGGGACAGAATTTGATACAAAGAACAATGTCAATCAAAGGGCTTCCTCCTGTTTCCAGGTAACAAGCGGCATAGATACTACATGGGAAGTAGCCATGGCATAACTAGACTTCTATGAGTCTAATTCCATGAATCTGGCTAATCTTATCTATAGCCACCTATGTTAGTGGCTGAGCTCACCCCACATGAATTGATAGATGGTTCTCCTGCTTTCCTGAAAACCTGCATATCATTTGTATTTCATAACACAATGGCAGTACAGTATTGGCAAGCCTTTAAGCCTTTAAGGTTATAAAGGGCCTATGGGGGTGGGAGGAGCCTCCCAAGAGTCTGAGAGTGCCATCCAGGACCCTTGGGAGGCTCCCCCACCCCCCACGGGGCCAGCAGGGGTGAAATCGCCAGCTTCCAGGACCTTACTGAGGCTTGGACAGGATCAGAAGGGTCCTGGAAGGTCGCAATTTTGCCCCTGCTGGCCGGGTGGGGGTGGGGGGAGCCTCCTGAGGGTCCTGGAAGGCACTCTTGGACCCTTCCGAGGCTCCCCCCACCATCCCCCCGCTGGGCCCTAGTGGAACGCTTTTACAGTATTCACTCCACAAGATGCACAGACTCCCCCCACCACCACTTTTTGGGGTCAAAAAAGTGCGTTTTATAGTGCGAAAAATATGGTATCTTTAATTTCCTCCTTTTTCCTGAAGGCAAACCATTTGAGTTTTAGAGGTTCTCCTTCAGAATTAGTAGAAGAACACAAAATAAAAATAGAGCCTTTGTTCATTTTCATTTTATTAAAATTTGGAAGTCCTATTCCTAGTGCTTGCACAAGTAAGTGTTCAGCACTTCCTGTGAGAGTAGGCCTTGCTCAGCGAGTTTATTTCTGCTTGTTCAACCATAAGCTAGAGTGTATGTAGGACAAACGGGTAGAGTGTAGCATGTTGCCTGCAGAACAGTAGTATTCTGGCTGTAATAAATTTTCTCTTCAATTTCGAAGAACAGGTACAGTGGTGCCTTGCTTAATGGGCGCCCCGTTTAACGACGAATCCGCATAGTGACGTTTTTTTGCGATCGCTTTGCGATGGTCTAGATCGGAAAAAACCACTTTGAGATGATCGTTACCCTGTTTCGCATACCGATTATCGCATAGCGATGATTTTCCAACACCTGATCGGCAGTTCCAAAATGGCTGCCGAAAAAATATGGCCACCCGCTGTGTTTTCGCCCGGATTCCTCGCTTACCGGGCAGCGAAAATGGCGGCTATATGGAGGATTTTCGTTTTAAGGTGTGTTTTAAGCCCATAAGAACGCATTGAAGGGTTTCAATGCATTCCTGTGGGCTTTTTAAAACCACATAGCGACAAAATCGCTTTGCAGCGATTTTTGCTGCACGGATTATCGTCGCTATGTGGAGCACCACTGTACTTACCCAATAAATCTGTATTCATTATTGCTATTCCAGGATCATCAGCCAAAGCGGAGGCTTCGTAACAGAGCTCAGTCATATGATATTCACTCATGGAAGACACAGTGCCAGGAATTGTTAAATCTGATCTTTCAATGTGAGGATTCTGAACCTTTCCGCCAACCAGTAGATCTTCTTGAATATCCAGTGAGTGTTTGCATATGTCGCCATTTCTATTGACAAATTCACCTTAATTAAAGTGAAGAACGGCCTACCACATTTTTAAAAACAGATTATTGCCATTCTCTTTTGTGATATGGTTGTACTACTGTTTCTCTGAAAATAAGCCCTAACTCCAAATTAAGCCCCAGTTAAGTAAAACCGCACCCTTCACCAGGGACTCAATTGTGCAGCAACCAGAAGAAGATAACATGACTGTATTTGAATAAATGTAGATTGTTGTACAAGAAAAAATAAAACATTCCCTGAAAATAGGCCCTAATGCATTTTGAAGCAAAAATTAATGTAAGACCCTGTCTTGTTTTTGGGGAAAGACAGTATATTTTGGTTTTATACATTCTGTTGGTCAATATAGCAGTTTTATTTATAGTATTGGATCAAGCTTTTTAACAGAAGGGAATATTGTTTCTGGGTTGAATCAAACTTTGATATTTTTAACAAAGGTTTGTCCACGCTTACTATGTATAATAAGCAGTAATTTAATCTCAGTTAACAATGATTAATTACAATTCTTTTTTAAAGGATTACAGAGACATCATTGATACACCAATGGATTTTGCAACAGTTCGAGAAACACTTGAAGCAGGGAATTATGAGTCACCAATGGAGTTGTGTAAAGATGTGAGACTGATCTTCAGCAACTCCAAAGTCTATACACCATGCAAAAGATCAAGGGTATGACTTCTTGATTTAAATATAAAGTCATACTGATTTGATACTTAAGTACTGTCTTCATTCTTGTGAAAGCAAAATGTATAATTTCTATTAATATGGACATTCTGAAGTATTTAAAAATATATAGGCATATTTCTTCATTCAGATTCTGGCCATAGAATGTAATTTTGAAAACTAATTGCAAACTCCATGTAACCAAAAACTATACAGTAGCTAAAAATGGTATGGGGGTTGTCCCATGAACACATATCTGAAGCAAATAATTTTTCAGTACTCTTTGAAAGATGGCAGTACTGATTTTCATTTGATTTATTTATGAAAAAATAGTGCTTTTCTATTACATGAACAGCTAATAACATATGAAATAAGAATTTGGAAACACTGAAGGTTTTTAGGTATGTTTGTTTGCATTTGTTTTATTAGCTAATCTGTAAATGAAATTGGTGATTCTTGTGTTAATTCATGTCTTCTTTTTTGTATTCCATCATTGTATATTTATTCCTTTGTGAGAATTCATTTTCTGAAGAGTTGGAGCTCATGCTAATTGTGTTAAGATGATAGATAACTGTTGGAATTGGAAAATAGGAAAGCATCAAAATATTCAATTTCAAACACAAAATAGCTGTATAAGTGCATAATTCTCAGGGAGTGATGCATGTGCATCATAGGCAAAGCATCTTTATAAAAAAAATTCTCATAGGACTCAATAGAGTCTTATGTTTGTCTTCAGTACACACCCAGATAATGTGACAAGATGTTAGTAAAGATGAGAGGCGCATTATACTCCCCTTATCAATGGCCATTCTTTTCCCTCTGACCAGTGCAGTTTATTCATATTCCAATTTCATGTGACAAGACAGGAAGAGCACATGGCTACATGGGAAGTGTCCAAAGACCTCCAGTTTCATCTGATAGACCCATTTTTCTGTCTATACGAGCGAATGTTCCTGTTTTCTATCTGAGCATTTGCAGGAACGGATCGGGGAGAGGGGCCTCTGTTCAGCCCTGCAGTGGTCTTTCATGTAGTAATATGAGATCTATTATAAAGGTAGATCTGGCTTAATATGTGTTCATTTGTCTGGCTTAATACAATAAATCATATAGGGAGATATTCAAATTTGAAGGAAATTACTTTAGACTTACTTTCCTATTAATAATTTACATTTTTAAAACAGATTTACAGCATGAGTCTTCGCCTCTCTGCCTTCTTTGAGGAACACATCAGTTCCATTTTATCAGATTACAAATCTGCTTTGCGCTTTCATAAGAGAACCACAATTAAAAAAAGAAGAAAGAAAAGAAGTAGAAGCAGTTCACTTTCAAGTAGTGCTGCATCAAGGTATGATCTGCTCGTTTTACTTCTTGTGAATATAGTACCTGAAGTTTATGGTGTGGAAATTCTTAATGCTAGGAATTGGATTTTAGGATTTTCTGGATTGCAGATACCATAATTCTCTATTCTGGGAATTCTGTCTACCTTGCAAGCATGCAGCTGTTGTAAACTCCTCTGCTTTGAGAAGCTGAACATTTGCTGAAAGCCTGGGACATGCAGTATCACACAGCTAAGGAATACACACCTGAGGACTGTGGGGAGAGTTGCCTGTACTGTAAACAGCAAGAAACTTCATTTCATGAAGATATGATTTGGAGTTCATAGTAGTAGTAAAAGGATGTGAGAGGCAAACAGTTGTGTAGAAAAGGTTTGATTCCATAAGACATCCAAAGAACTTTGGAACAGACACAAAAATTTATAAAGCAAAAGTTGAAGGGTTTTTATACTCAGCAAGATTTGAATGCAAGATTTCATTGTATCTCCCTTACCTGTGCTTCTTCAAATTAACCCATAGATTTATGAATTATATACATGAAGTGTTGGCCCCTTCCCTTAGGAAAGCATGTTTGGCACTGAGATTTCAAACTGTGCTGTCACATTATATGGAAGGGTACTATACTCAGACACCAATATCACAGTGTGTTTATATATGTTGAGCCCAAGTAGTACAGAATGTACAACATTATTTACTGCATATCTCTTTATATTCTGAACATAGAACAAAACCTGTATCAAATTTGCTAGACGGTATACGAAAGTGACCAAAATAAAATTATCTGTCTGTTGTCTGATGTTAATTAAGCTGTAACAGATAGAGTAGCTGCCCAAAAATTAAGGACAAATTATGTAAAGACCCACATGGTTAGTTGAACAATTTTTTAAAATTCTCTGTGTGTTTTAATTCGTTTGTACTTTGCTTTCAGCCAGTATTTTGTGAATGCATGTATTTGTACTTTTAATTTGCTAACATTATATTGTCCAGCTAACACTCCACAGGTGTACATATTTTTATTTGTATTGATGTTTTAATTGTAATGCTAGTGATGGTTGATTGACCAAAAATACTAAACAGTGAAGTTAGGGAGAAGCAAGTGCAGGCAAATAGATGAAAGAAATCTTCATTCTTTTTATCACATTCAAATGTATGCAGAAAATAAGTTTAGCATCTAATGAACTGAACTCTGGGTCATGTGAGCTGATGCCCATGATAAATCTGCTTAGAAGTAACAGCATCATGTGTAACAAGGCAGCAAAATGTTTTAGTCCAAATCTAGAATTTATCAAGTGCAAAGTGGGCTTTCCTAAGGAGAAGATCCCAGAGTCAGGATGGCACAACAAAGAAAGCCCAGTACCATACTAGAATAGGGCCTGACATTCTTTAACAATTCGGCATGCTCCCTAGGATATCTAATGACCATGACATACTAGGTTTTGTCACTCTTTGAAGTATCATCGATTCTTGGTCTTGTCGCCTGTCTGTAGTCCGGATAGGAAACGGAGATTAATCAAGCCACAGCTGAAAGCTGAACCCCTTGCTTCACCTTCATCCTCTGCCCCTGCACGTTCAGCAGCCCTGAGAAATGTCACTGCCCAGATGAATGGAAAAGCAGCAGACCCTGTGGCTGTAGTCCGAACAAGGAGTACTAGGGCAGGAACAGAAATGGCGGTGAATGAGCAGCCTTCTACATCTTCAGGAGGCAAGCCTTTAGCTGTGAAGCCTAGTGGCACTGTTGCATCAGGGAAAGCAGGTGAGTAAGTTGGGTAAGGCTTTCATTTTTAAACACTATGTTTGTAGCATATTCGTGGTATTCAGCTGCCAAGAAGAGAGCTAGGTGGCAGCACACTTTCAGGACAGTGCTGTCCTCCCAGCTAATCTGGTGCATTCTTTATGGGCTTTTGGCTCCAGGTGAACACTTGAACACTTCCTTATTCACATAGGCCTTTTAAAGAATTTGGTCTTACTTATTTTAATACTCTATCTTATTATTTACTTTTGTTCATATATAAACATAAGAAACAACTAAAGTACATTTATGTACAGTGAAGTTTTAGGAAAGCACAGAAATAGAGGATGAATAGGCAAAATAAGCTTGCATCCTCTCATCTGTTTTTGTTCAAAAGACATTGAAGGTTTTGTTCAAAAGATACTGACTTCAGTAACTAAAAGTGTTTCCTTGCCTCATCAGTAGCTATATGCTAGAAAATATCTTGATGAAATTGTCTCTCTTATTTTGGCTCCATAGTACTCGAGAATTCCAACAAACATTCCAAGAGCCAAAGTCTTTTACTGGTTCCTAGTCAAACCAATTCCACTCACAACACTAGAAACAACAGTGCAAGAGAAAATGTGGAGAAGGATAAACAGATCAAACGTAAATCGAAATCTGTCAGTGTCAGCTCACAGGGTAAGTTATTTTTGTATGCTTACTATCACTCTTTCCTGGTGCAGCATGGCTCCGGTTTTCTCACACTGTTTATTTGGCCCAGGTAATAGCATTCATATCACCAAACTTGACGTAAATAATCTGTCTGAGAAATCAAAGGAAAGTAATAGTTTGTAGTAGTGGTGGGAGAAAATAAATGTCACAGATCTTACCCAAAAGCCTGAGTGGTAGTGATTTTCAAAATGAGAGTTATTCCTTCCATTCATGGGCTAATGTCAGTCCACTGAAGAGAATTTTCACCTTTCTCAAGTATTTAAGGTGGATGCCTTGCAAAAGGAAATTATTAGTATCTTTTTAGCTTTGCAGGGAATCTTAACTCAATTTGATGCACTGCTTACAGTTAGGTCGACATTGGAGTTGAGCAGACACTCTGTGGGACCAAGAACACACATTACCATATGAAATTAGCCTAATTTATCACAGGAAAAGTATGTCATTAGAACATAAATGTTGAAATTTAAATCAGCTTAGACTGATTTTGCCCACAAAATAAAATAAAAAATCTTACTCAAGTGTACTTTACTAATCAATAAATCAGTTTACTCTGTGCTATTCGTGTGGATATGTTTTGCATTATACTTCTAAGTTCCTGGTCTTTAGAGAAATGGCCCAAATGTCTCACTTTTTATTATTAATCAAGGATGTTCTGAATTATGCAGATACCAAATTTTAGCTCTGTAAATCACATGGCAATAACTAACTGTTCTAGGGGAGCCAGTCAGTCACTCAGAGGCCCTAAAACCTGTGTATAATAAAGTATACATAATAGAGGGAATGAGGGACTGGAAGATGCCTCCTACATCTGTTTGCTTCTCAGTAAATCTCTGAGAGGTCCTGATATGTTTGCTGCATTAGAGTATGTGGAAAAATGTGGGGGTGGGAATTTCCTTTCAGATTTTCTGTGCATTCCTACATTTAAGAATATGCATGCTTAAGCTGCAAAAGGTCTAGAGCATGGGGTGGAAAGATTTGCAGCCTAGGGGTCCAGTTCCTCTCAGAATCAATTGGGGATTGCAGTACCATAAAATCTAAAATTCTGCCGCAGCTCTAGGTGCTTTTTAAGGTTCAGGAAAGTGAAAGATCACAGGGTAGAGCACCTGACTCCTTTTTTAGAAGTGATAGATGGATAAGAAACCAAGCCCTCATGGTTTTGGTGATGAAGAGGGTAGCAGCAAATTAAAGCTGAGTATCAGTGGAACCTCTGCTCTGCTGGCACATATCTAAGCAGTAGTGTTTTGTTTCCCATTTTCTTTCTGGTGGCACAAGGCAATGAGAAGGGCTTATGAAGCTGTTCTATGTATGGAAAAATTGTTCAGTTTTTCCACTTTACCTTTTCTGCACACTGTAGTTCTTTGCTTTACCCTTTGTATACAGCAATAAAAACTTCTGCTAATCCTTCACTGCAAATTGAAGGAAACACCTATTATCATCAAGTGGCTGGCTGGGAAAGTGTAGTATAATATTAAAAAGTTCATGATAGTATAATAGATGTTTTGTTCATATGATGCTTATTTAAGCATGAAGCAGGGAGCAGTTTGTAAAATCTTTGCTCACTGAAGTTTCCATTTTAAATTTTAAATGTAGCTGACGCTGTAAAGCTATGCAACAACTGTGGTTAATGAACACCATTTAATTGGTGCTCTCTCTTTATAACAGATTGCAAGGATAATGCCATCGCTTTAGCCACAGGAAGCATCCAGGTAAATGGACATGGGGGACAGTCTTCAAAGCCCATGTTTAAGAGAGGTCCTGGAAGGAAACCGAAGGTTGAAACTAACAACACTAGTTGTGAACTGGTGCATAAGAAACGAGGGAGGAAACCAAAAAACCTGTTACTTAGTCAGCAAAAGAAATTAGGGCAGAATATAGTCCAAGCTGCTAAAGACTTGCCAGCTGAGGAAGCATCTGTTTCCACTGCTTCCAATTATTTTTCTGAAAATAATGTGAAGGAAGACTTGCTACAAAGGAAAGGACGTGGAGGCAGAAAACCGAAAAGAAAGCTAGAGGAGGAGCAGCAGCCAGAACTGGAGCTTAAATTTTCTGCAGATCCCAAGATTCAGACAAGAAGCAAGAGGAAAAAGATAGATGGGCCTGTTGAAGAAGAAGAGCTTGAGGAATTGAAAGATTCTGAACCCCACATGAGAACTAGAAATCAGGGTAGGAGGACAGCTTTTTATAATGAAGATGACTCAGAGGAGGAACAAAGACAGCTGTTGTTTGAAGACACCTCTTTGACTTTTGGGACATCTAGCAGAGGCAGAGTCCGAAAGTTGACTGAGAAAGCAAAGGCTAATCTGATTGGTTGGTAACTTCTGCATTAAAAAATGCTAAATAATAGGTACAACTGAGGATATAGTAGAATGGAGGAGATCTGCTTTCTGCTGCTATTTACAGATGAGAGTATGCTCTGATTTGGAAAAGTACAGCAAAAAACATGTTGAAGATTTCTTTGGAAGAAGTTATGTATTTTAAAAGTTTGCTATTTATTACCCTCCAAGTAGGTTTTGCATTTCAATTCACTTCAGTTGGTATCGAAGATTGTACAAATGAAAACCTTGATTTGCAGAAATATTACTGTAATTTTGAACAGTACACAACCGCTATTTCATTAAAATAAGAGAATTTTTAAAGTAACAAACTGAGAACAGAACTCCTATTTTTGAACGAGAAGGTACAGTACATTTGTATAGAGTGTAGCATCTGTGTTTTGCAAGCTGTTAGCAGAGGATGGCAGTGAGTGCCATTGAGAACAAATGCAAAATTACCACACTTTGCTAGTAAGGTAACATTTAATTCAGTAGTGATGGGGCACACAAAAGCTTTGTCCAAACAAATGTAGTGCAGGTTGTTTTGTCTAGGTTCTGCCAGAGAGAAATCACAGTTATATAGATATATATATATATATTTATATATATCCACATTGGAAAAAGTTTGACTAATATGTCTAATTTTTCAGACTTTTCATTCTCGTATCAATCAAATCTCTGTTTCTTGTGCCAAAGATTGAGAACCGGTGCAGTGGAAGTTTTGAGTGGCAATGCAGCATACAGTTTTCAGTTCTGTTTATGACTCCATGTTCAAAATATAGATTGTTCTGGAAAATTATCCCTACTGGTACTTTGTAGTTAAAACAGTTAATGCACTGGTGGGATCCTTTGACAGATATTTGAGCAAAATTTATTGTTGGGTTTAAAGGGTCAAAGAAACTGCAGGAAAAAAGTATGAGGTGTTTATGTTACAATCAGATTGATTGTTTCTGCAAATTGTGTTAAACTGACTAAAATTTCTTTCAAAAGTGTATGTGTATGTATATATTGACTATGTACACAAGCACATAAATATATACAATATTACCCAGGTATAATTTTTTCAGGACTTTTTAGATAGTACTAGAAAATTAAGAATTTTAAAATGTCATACTTTAATTTTATGAGGAAGATTGGTTATTTTCAATTATTAAAATTAAAAGGCCAAATCAGTTTTTATGCAATCATGTTTTATACGGTGTTTCATTGCACATTGTTTTTCTGCACTTTTTACACTAATACTTATCAAGCTGACAAGAGTCAATATAAACACCCTAAAGGAAAATCCCACTTTATGATTGTGCCTTGTATTCTATTATTTTGTGCATCTTTAGTAAACTTAAGTTTTCTGTTGTAAATGATGACTATATGACTTAGGGGAATGTATTGCTGTATGTACTGCTATGGAAAAAACAGTTATTTATTATGGCTACATTTACTTGTTTTATACTTTAAAAAACAAACATTAATACAGTTTTATTGTTTAAAAGCATTGTCCAGTTTCAAAGAAGAAAAAGGCAAAACAGTTGCATGGTACAAAAATGTAACCACATTTTCATTAAGAACTTGAGGGAGAGAAGCCAGTAAGTGAAAGAGCGCTGTTGTTATTGTTTTGTAAAAACAACCCTGCTCTTGACCAAGAGGTGAAGATGTGTGACAGTGAGAGGCCCTCTGAATGTGTGCCCACCTGTCCAAAAGATGGGTTGGACTGTCAACATGAGCAGTAGAATTTGGACGGATGGAATTTGAATTTAACTTCAGCGTGAATTCAGTTTTGTTTCCCTCCAAAGCGATAATTTGATCTGCCAAGAATTGTAGCACTGACTCTGTTTGGTAGCACATACCGTTTTCAATTGAGTTTTGAGAACTGCATGTAGATCAAGCCCCAGGAACTATGGATGCAACACCCTTTTCTGCACCCGCTTGTACACATGCAGACACTGGGCATTTTAGATGTAAGGTGAATTGATACTCATTGCAAATCTCGTTAGTGGAAAAATACCTGGTTTTAAAAACGTATTTCTAATTTTACTACAAATACTCATGTACATAATAGTCATTCATCCTTACTTAGCTAGTTGAATATCATTAATATTTAAACCAGTTCTATGAAATGTGGGGCATGGGATATTTTGTTTTAGTTGACTGGTTAATTGGCATTAACACCTCCAAGGCTGAAGAAGTTGAACTTCATGGTCTGGCATTAAGAAAGAAAAATTTAGTCATTGCTTCATTGAAGACAGTTCGTACAGTACTTCCTAAATTTTTATTTACAAGGCAATCCTCAAAATTCTTCTGACAAGGCAAAACATTTGTTCTTGTTACTGCTGCATGAAGTAATTACATTAGATTGGCTATTATGTTACATCAGTGGGAGAGCTTGTTTCATGTTCCACAAGAGAAGTTTATAGTAAATTTAAATTTTCCATTTCAAGAATCTTCTTTTTTAAAAAAGTAATCAATTTTAAATGTTTGATTTCCTGATATGATCTGCATTTTAAAGAAACCACAAAGCAAAACATGACACTTCATTGCTGTAGTTACTTTGTTTATAACTGTCACACTTGGTGTGGTTTATGTATATACCAACAAGTATGTGTATATAATATTGTAGAATGGAAGAGTACATAGAAACATCATGTCTGAAAATTACATGTGTCAAAGGTACAGAATTCAAAAAATTTCTTTTGCAGCACAAAAATGTATTCCCCCCTGTCATGATTAATCTATTTGTATAGAAACACCACTTAAAAATTTGTTAGATTTTTTAAAAAACAAACGAACGTGCATTAGCTTGTATTGATTTAACTTCAATTACTGTATTGGTTGGATTTCCCTGATCTGCAAAATTATTTTTATACCAACATAAAGAGCTTTTCATCTAGCATACTTTAATATGAGCAATAAACACTGGTTGAATAACTGGGTGGATGGGCAAAATTGTAGTGAAATGTGTAAATGGGTATTATTCTCTCAAGCAAAATACAATATTTATGACATATTCACATTGGTAAATATCTTGCAGGTACAGTTTAATTTGGTAGTTAACAGTCACACAGGTGATTACATTACAGACTTGGCAGTAATGAAAGTGACGTAGTCTGCTAATCCAACAGCTGATACAGGGTGGTCCATTGGTCCATAATGTTGATTCCTAAATTATTTTAATATTAATAGTATTTGCTGTACAGTGGCGTTTGACCACAGCATTCCATGTCCTTTGGGAAATAACTTGTTGATTACTACTAATTGCAGTAATATTTGTTTGGTAAAACACAGTCAGCAAGTTTAAATTTTGTTCTCTGGGAGTTAAGCTTGAATTACTGAAGAAGTACTTTTTATCTTTGAGCTGTGACTCAAAATGCAGCTTTACAAGAACTGTCTTCCTATAGTGATTGACTGCTGTGAGGTAAACTAGCACAGTTATTTATACTGTTCTTTCAGTTGTTAACTTGATATTACTTTGGATCAATCAGTGTAAAACACTGTCTAAAGAAAACTTGTGGAGCATGTAGTGTGTATCAAATTTAAAATAAATAGGCACATGCACGTATCTCAAGTATCTAGATCATGTGCTATGTTGTAATACAAACATTTTTGAAATACTAGGTTGGGAGTTTGGTTTTACAAGCTTTATTACATCTGAAGTAACTCAGATAATTATTAATAATTGTTCAGGATCCCAACAAGTACCCACACACTCAGCTCCTATGTTTTGGTTTCTTTCAAGAGAGCAGATACCAGTGTACTGAAGAATATGCATCCTTACCTTTGAATCAGCAGCTCATTTTTGAAGATTTTGGGCACAATCTAATCACGCTTTGGAATCAGTTCATGGAGCAGTGCATGCAGGGGCTTCTTGCCCCTTTCCCTCCCCTCTTAGCCAGCAAACAATCCCCCAAGTGGAGAGTTGCACTTGTGGGACAGCTGCACATGCCTAACAGTGTATGTAAGGGAACGGCTGGATCGGGCCTTTAATGTGCGTTTTCGTGTATCTCTTAATCTTGCACTTCATGTAATTGGACCTAAGCATTAATCTGATAAAAGGGCTGTTCAGCTTCTGTTGTAAATAATGTAAATACATGTTTATACTTTTTACAGATGGTGTACATTTCATATATACTGGCTAGTCTGAAAATTTATTTCTAGTATAACAAATCTGGTATCTCATTTTTAATATGTTAACATTAAATGATTTGTACAATAATCAGAATTTTTAATTACTATTTGGAAAATGGTGATGTAAAAATGTTAGTTCTATAACTCATCCATTTGTTTTCCTGTTCAGTTCAGAACATTTTACAATAGAAGGTAAACCCTCTGTTTCAGGAAGGGTAACTTTTTTGAGTGAAATATGATAATAGTGTGAAAATTCTTAGCACTCGTGTTGGCTTATTTGTGGATTTTCTTGCTCAAGCATAACTACAGTATTGGATTTGCCTGTTGTGCATGGTTGAGAACAAGATTTCTGCTAATGGAAGGGTTGTTATTTTTTTTTCCACTGGCCAGCAAACACAACTTTATGCAACCCCATTGGAGATGCTGGTATTTTAAAAACATCATAAAGTCTAGCCAGCATTTTGGAAATGTTACAAAGCCCAAGTCTGTTTATAATCTCTAAAATGTACATAATCTGGCTGGATAGCTCAGTGGTTTAAGTACCTGGCTGCAGAGCCAGAGGTTAGTAGCTCAATTCCACACTGTGCCTCCTGGGAGAAGAGACAGTCTGTGTGCCCTTGGGCAAGCTGCAGTCATAGGTTACCCCCAGAAGAAGGGAATAGTAAACCACTTCTGTGTACTCGCTACCTAAAAAACCTTGGAAAGGGTCACCATAAACTGGAATCGACAGCACACAGTTATTGTGTTTATGTCAAATTAAATGAAAGTGTGTTTTTTAAATTTAAGAATGAGCAAATGCTGGAGATTGGATGTTTAAAATGAATACAGGTAATTGCGTCAAGAAAATCCAGGCTATGGGGACAGAAGTATTTTTATGTCAATAAAATACTTCTACCAGAAATTATTAAACATTTAAAGACAAAATATTGTCACCAAATTTGTGTATGTGCACAAACATTATTTAACATGATGTACGTATCAGACACAAGATTTTTTAAAAAAAAGAATCGGCAGCTGGCACACATTTCAGAGTTACATTTTTGCACCATAATACTGCAAAAACCAGAAAAGTAAGTAGATTCTTGAGCAAGCTATTTAATAACTGGTCATTTAATGTTGAGACATAATACCTTATTGATCAACTTAAGGACATTGTCTGGAACACTGAAACTGACATGTTTCAAAGCTATGCCTATTTTGTACAGTAAATCCCAAACATAACAAGACAGTTTTACCATTTTAAATTTTATCAATGTTAATTTCTCTTGGAAATCTGTTTCTTCATATTATAAAGTGCAGTCTCTCACCTGGTTGAACAGTGCCCTTTCTTTTTGTACATACTGATTGAAACTTCTATTGTTATGTGAAACACCTATGTTGGTTTTGATGAATAATACTTGGAATCCTTTTATACAAACTAGAATGTATGTGTAAGAATTACTGTCACTGCAATGTAGTAACTACAAACCTATTTTTAAATAAATAGAAAACTCGTTTTTCTAAGCTGCTCTGTTTGTTTCGGTCATTAATATGTATATTGATAATGTGCAGTGGGGATTGATCCAGATTTGAACTCTGTAGACTTCTGGAGACAGTTGTGGAAGCAGGGCAGCCTTTATCCCTCCTTCCTGCTTGCATTGCTTTTGTAACTGCCCATATGGTTTCAGAACAGTGTGGAAGGTGGTATCGGGGCCTGCAAGGAGAATGTGAGAAAACTGCCACTTTACCCCCTTTCTGGAGTGGTTAGCCTCTGAGTCCACCTCCATATATAAACAGAAGGAGCCTTTCATTTTTTGAGGTGTAGCTGGATCCAACCTAGTATGTTTCTGGTTTGTTAAGACACATCTTGTTAGTGCAGTACTTTTGCTAATGAAACCGGGCTAATTTGATCGCCTGTTCTCTTTATGTAGCAGCCCTACAAACCATGATCATGTAAAGCTTTCATCAGTTTCAATTTCTGAAGGCGCTTGTTCTGTGGATTTAGATAAGGCTTGAGACCCAATGTAGAATGGTTGCCATATTGGCTCTGGAGAATGTTTGAACCACACTGTTCCTAGGATAAACTGCCCCTGCTAATGGCACTAGAAAGCAGCCTACCAATATATCAAGTTCAGGCCAGGAACAAGTCTGCATAACTTTTCTCCAAGCAGGATGATGAGAAAATGTACCTATAAATATTTCTGTGAAGTTTCTTTCAGCTGGATCATTCTGTTTTATCTGTATGCCTACATTACCGCTCTTCCATAATTGACAGTTTCAAATACTGTATTCTGGTATTGGTTTCCATGACAAGAATTCATTACTGCACTCCAGAGCCTTAACTCTGGTCTTGCATGGGCAATTTTCTGTTATGCAGGCTAGATTTACTCGGGCAGATATGTTGTGGCCCTTCACATGTGACAAGATTGCAAACATGGATCAGCCTTAGCCACTACAGCCAATGGTAAAGGATGATGGGAGTTGCAGTTCTGCAGCTGGGGTACCACAACATGCTCTCCTTTGTTTTAAATATCCATGGCCTACAGCAGGTGGCCTACAGCCACATCCTGGTGGAAAAGCTGCTCTAATGTTGATTATTATCTCTTTTGTAACTTGTGAGGTCTGTTGGTTGATCTTAGCTGCAGGCGTGTTTTTATGATGGGTTACATCCACCAAGCAAATTATGATCAAGTGGAAGCTTTCTGCTACAGCAGACGGGACAAGTACAGCCTACAGGGTTTCTTTAATTGCAGTTTCCACTCACCACTGGCTATGCTGGCTATAGTTGATGGGGCACACAAGGTGCAAAGTCTTTCGAAGACAGCAGGTCCCTCCCCTGTGCTACAGAAAGGAGGCAGATGGCAATGCCCCCTTCACCGTGAAAGGGTGCTGCTATTCTGACAGCTCAATGTGGAGACAGCCCTGTGGGTTGATCAAGGAATCAAAGGGAATAAGCACTCTGATTCCCCTCTGAACACAATGCCAGAGAAATCCCATTGAACACAGATCTAAACTCAGCTCTGTTGCTATATGCAGGTCAAAGACTCCACGGTGTATACTACTTTGTAGAAACTTGGTACACTGATTTTTTTTTACTTGAAAAAGTATCACACTTCCTTACAAAGGAAGAAGAAACACCAAACAAAACCATTCTAGTAAATGGTATATTAGTAAAAAACTTGATTCTGCAGTTGGTATTTCAAGCACACATAGGGTGGGATCCAAAGTTGGGAGCTTCCATTCATGGAAGTCGCTCTGTGATTACAAAAAAAAATTCAGCCATGAGATTCCCCCTTCCAAGAATTACACGGCAAGTCGAGTCAGCCACTGAATTCACTGAAGGTAACTAGATCTACAACTGTAGCGTTCTCTATTTATTAGGTTTATGGTTCATGTTTGTTATGTAATGGAAATGCTTCATGCATATTAATGTTGCTTAGAGGCGGAACCAAGAGAGAGATGCTATAAGAGGAGGAGCCTGAGTCAGTGAGGGGGTAGATTGAGTCAGTAAGAGAAATGTAAGAAAAAGTGGGCAATAGAGAGTATGAGTGTAATAGAGTGTGTAGTTTGAGAAATTCTGAGGTGTGATTAGCTGCTGAAGATATTTATGAATCAATATCTGTAATCAATAAACAAAAGTTTTATTTACTAGAACTTGAAGAGTGGACTTGAATCTTTCTGAGGTAATGGTGATTTAGGGATCACCTGGTGGCAGCAGTGTTAAAGAGGAGAGTGTTTGCCTTTGTGTGTTCTGAGGCTTGAAGGTCAAGCAAAAGAGGCACAAGGGTGAACGCCACAACAACCTCTGTTAGAACTTCATGAAATGATTTTAAAAGTATGAACGGCATCTCACTATCACTTTAATTTTCTGATTACGGAAAATCAAGCTGACCATAATGACATTTTTCTTCCCAAAGGGGGGAAAAACAGTTTGAGGCCTCGGTAACAAATCAGTTCATATTTAGAAGAGCAGCTTTTTTCCTCTTTCTTTCCCCTTTTATTTCAAAAATGGCAAATATCCTTGAGAAAGCATAGATGGTGGCACTTTGAACTCTCTGTTGCAAACTCAGTGAATGTGAAGGTACGGCCACCTGGTTTCCAAGATGGCCTTCCCACTCCTTTGCTTCCTCTTCCCTTATCAGCAAAGGCTTCCCCAGGGAGTGGCCGAACAACTGACAAACTTCTTGGGCTTTTTGCTGGGCACTTCCAACAGCTGCAAGACATACCTGGCGCCTGGACAGAAGAAAAAAATACGTAAGCTACAGTTTTGTCTACTAAAACCTTCCTTAAATTCTGCAGCTATTTATTGTCCACTCCTTAAAGCTAGAAACCTTCGCAAACAATAGCATAACTTTATTCCCTTTTAACTCAGAAATCTTGTTGCATTCCAATGGATTTATTTCGAGTTGCATGTACATAGGATATTAGCCTCAAGTTACTTGTAGACCACACTTCAGTGGTACGTAATGATTTATATGTGAACACATTTCCTGAGCAGTGACTGATTAAAATGGCAGAGGTCTGAAACAAAGCAAAACTAACTTAGGACAGGTGGGCAAACTAGAATTGTTCAGACTGCATCTTTCATTGGCTCTAGCCACAAACGCCACATTAATTACTGCAGGCCAGCAACATCTACCAGGCTCCACCTTTGTCCATCCTGTTTTAAGAAGTCATCTCTAAGTTTGATCCCTTTGACACTAGGAAAAGGTAACTTACCGAAGGATATTTATAGCCTCCATTGTATGATAAAAATGAGGTGGGCCAATCGTGACAGAACTATCTAGCTTCTCAACAAGAAAGTTACAGACTTCTTGCATTTTCCCAAAGTCATTGAATGTAATGCAGACCTGTATATGAATGTTAAAAAAAATATGTTGAATCTTCCGAGTGCTGCAGCCCAATCTAATAAAAAACTGGCATATAAGATCAATTAACACTTACCTTGAAAACCCTATTAGGGTTGCTATGTAAATTCTGACCTGACAGCACAGGACACCCACCCAACCACTGACAACAAATTCTTTATAAGATTAAAAAAATTAATATATAATGGTAGCAAGGAGAATGTAAAATTCTTAACCTTTCTTTCATTGATTTTCAATTTTGATACATATATTTGTTTTATAAATTGAATAAAAGTACAAGTAAAAATAAGAACTTTGTAGAGATAAATGTTAAACTAGACTTCACACACATCATTCTCCAAAGAATGATGCATACAAGCAGCTTCTAATTTCTAAATAAACACCAGTCATGAAAATTATTAACAAGCACCTAATTGTACTTGGAAGTAATCATATTTTCACCTCAATGGGAATTACCTCCAAATAAATGATAATATTGTGTTCTTGTCAATGTTCATACTGTACTTAGAATACTTGCCTCTGCTTCCATCTTATAAGCATTGCCAATTCTACTGAAGTTTTTTGTCACACTCAAATTCTTCTCCTACAACAAAACACAACAACAAATTATTTTGTTATTTCAATAACAACAGTAGAACTATGGAGCTGGAAAGAGACCTATGGATCTTAATGAATAATAGACTACAGCAACATATTTTGAGATAAAAAATTACTTAGATTTATTGAAAATGAGAATGAGTTAGATTCTCACTAGTCATAATTAAACTTTTTATTGAAACCAATCCACTTAAAATTTTAAATCGGTCTCTAAGAATGACTATTTAGTTGTAAATGAATCCAACCATAATTTTGTTCAGGCACCCCTTCACCCTCAGAAAGGGTAATATACTGTTCCAACTTGTGTTAACACAAGCATAACTTGAGTAAGATATATTTATTAATAAATCAACAGAAAATAATGATAAATGTATTTGGTTACACTGAACAAAATAAGGAACTTAATAACAGAAAAATGGTAATCCAAAAATACAAAAGCACTTCAATCAACGAAGTTTTGAATTTATGATGTCCTCCAAATGTGCTTCATTTATACAAATTGTGTAAAATGCATTGCTTATAAACAGTAGGAAAGTTTCAGATTATAGGAATAATTTAACGAACACTGTAGAAGAGCATTTTTGAAAGTTATTTAAATATATATGTGACCTATATTAGTTCAAACTATCATGTATGCTTGTCAGTTTTTAAAATGCTTTTTTAAAATTCAAAACTGCTTTTTTGAAATGGATAAAAATACTTTCCCCATGTGGTCTTATGTATTACTACAGAAATTGATACAGAGCAGCTTATAAAATGAAATATTATCATGGGAATTGGAAGACATTTTTTCAAAGAGTGACATGTTTGCAATTTGAGTGCACAGGGCATCATCATAACAGACAGTATATCTTCCTTTCATCTTTGTATGTGCAAACATTTTTGCTCCCAGTGTCACATTCCATGATGTTTAGTAACCTGCACTATACCGCCAAATCAATCCTGAGAATGTAGAAGAGTAATATATTAAAGCTTCACATTGCAGGCATCCTGACCAGTGCCACCACCACCACCATTTTGGAGTGAGAGGCATTTTTTTAAAAGCTAAGAAGAAAAATAAAAAGCAAGCAAGGTACAGCAGTCTGAAGAATGTACCATATATATATGCTACATGCTACCATTATCCTTATAACATTCTCAAGGGGGAAGATTTGGGTCTGGATAGTGGTATACAAATGGCTATATGTTGTGTGTCATATCATAGCTTCTGAAGGCTTACTTAAAATGAATAAATTAGGACATGGTGAAAGGAACTGTTTCCCCATAAGATGCCCATTAATGTTATGGGGTGGAAATTAAGTTTTGATGTAACTTTTGACGGTTGAAAACATGACAACAATATACCGTTTTCCCGAAAATAAGACCTAACCTGAAAATAAGCCCTAGTATGATTTTTCAGGATGCTCATAATATAAGCCCTACCCCAAAAATAAGCCCCAGTTAAGTGAAACCCTGCCCTCCACCCTTGTGCAGCAACCAGAAGATGACATGACTATATCTGAATAAATGCAGATTGTTGTACATGAAAAAATAAATAAAACATCCCCTGAAAATAAACCCTAATGTGTTTTTGGAGCAAAAATTAATATAAGATCCTGTCTTACTTTCAGTGAAACACGGTATCTGATTATACACTGGCAAGGTTTAATCTGAGCTGGGTTTCAAAGTCTCGCCAGCATATCAGACAAAATCCAAAGATACAAAACTAAACAAAACAATACCAAAAACAAGTGGCACCATAAAGACTAGCCATTATATTTTCATGTAAGCTTTCCTGGAGACGTCCAATGTTTCAAACATTAAGAGCCAGAATGAAATGGAATTAAATGTAAATGAAATACCTTCCACATTCTAGATGTTCATGGGTTAAATGCAGTAATTAGGCCTGTTTGTTTTACAATCCTGTTGTAAAAAATTTTCAGGAAGACAGAAAACAAACATTAGGTCTGAGCAGATGGGAGGTGGGTGTTGGGGGAGGGGAAGAGAGAAAAAAGAGGGGAAATTGAAGATGCAGAGGAATCATGTGTGTTAACATAGGGACTATGGACAGTTTTTAACCTAGCCTTGTGTTGAAGTACACAAGGCATGGTAGAAGTGAAGAAAATGACAGTGGCAGCGGAGAACAGTAGAAGTCTTACATTTGGTAATGGCTTAAGAAACGTAGGCTTACATTCAGTCCCTTGCTATGGGTGTCTATCATGCGCCTGGATTTTATATGTCAGCTGTCTATCCAGCGCTCCCTTTGAGGTCACTCTCCAAAGTCCTAGCAGGGGGGAATCACAATAGCAGGGCCAGGTTCAAATCGCTTCCCGAACCCGAAGCTCCCTGCCTGATCCCGGTGTGACAAACCCAGACCTACTGGGATATGTCACACAGTTACACTAAGCTGCCACCAACCATTCCCTGTAAGAAGTCACACAGACCAGGGATGGATTTTTAAACAATAAAAAAAGAATAAGGTTTATTTAAATACACACAGGGAAAATAAAATAATCAGCTTTAGAGTCCCAAACCGTCGCTCTGCCCACCACACATCACACCGGGAACCACGAGGGTGAAACACTAATTTGTATACGTTCGCGGCTAGTGGTGGTCGCGGCTGTTTTGGCAACCGCCGAGGCTTCGCCTTAGAAGCGACAGAGGCAGCCGCCATCGGAAGTGTCCGCCAACAAAGTCCCCCCCCTCCCAACGAAGAGCCGCTATCCCTCTTTTTTTTTCCCTTTTTCTTTCTCACGCGGGTGGGAGGCAAGGAAAGGCTCTGGGGAGGCCGCGCATCCAACCCACCGACCCACCCACCCACCGAGAGCTCTCCTCGCTGCCGGGCCGTCTGGACGATATAATCCAGCCTCCGGGTGACGCTGCTGCGGGCGGCCGCGGCCTCCCCTTTGCTGCTGCTCAGGTGAATGGTCACTTCCGCGCGGTCGGGGCTGGCGCTGAGCTCCGCGGTGCCGCTCACATGAACCTCTCTGCCGGGCGGCAAGGAAGACGCCGAGGTCCCTCCTGTGGCCCCGGGCGCTTCCTTCTCCCGCCTGTCTGTCCCGTTTTGGGCGGGAGGGATTAGCTCGGCGAAGACCCGCGCAGGGGCGAGCGGCGGTAAGGGCATTGGGCCCACCCTAGAATCGCCTTTCGGGCGCCATAGCAACCGACGGCACGCCGTAAGCGCTTCCCGCCCAGAGAATTCTGGGCGTTGGAGTTCTACTGGGAAGGGGAAGAGTCACGTGACCCTGCCGGGGTTCGGCAACGCAGACGCCGTAAAAGAGGCTTTTGGGCCAACTAAGTTGCAGAGGGGTATCCCATGTTTCCTAGCGTTGCCTTCCATTTATTTGCGGTCTCTTCGGGAGGACTCGGTTGTGATGGTGCTTTATTTTGGGTTAACCGCTTTTTAAAAAAGGAACTTGACGAACCGTTTGGGACGGCAAAATAGTAAATCCGCATAAATCAAACTCAGTAGTTGAGTTCTGGAAGCAGGGCGAGAAACAAAGTACTCTTAACTCAGGAAGACTGCATGTGGTTTGTTTCATTTCGCAGCCAAAATTCCCACCACAAACACCATTTTTAAGTATTATTTTGTACAGTTGTTGTAAAAGTGAGTGTGTGCAAACACTCTGCACATTCTCGTTTCTGAACTTTCCACGGTTGGTGTATGTGTTGGAAGGGTTGGAACTCCTGGCATGCTCTTCGGACAGATTAGGGCCAGGAATGGGAAAGCTTAGTTTGGAAGACAAAAATGGACAGAAAATGAGTAAAGAGAAGATTAGAGGAGGCAGATGATGCAGGAAACTCCAGCTGCTGTTTGTAGGAAAGGAAAGGCAGTTTTGTTTTGGAGAAGGTGAGAATATTGACTGACAGGAGTGTATTATCCAATGGGGTTTTGGTTTCTCTCCCTGGATATATGGTGCAATATTAGATAAGGACATTCTTAGATATTTTAATAACATATTCTGTGAGCTTTCTCATAGAGATTTCTCTAACTCCTGAGCTGCAGCTAGAGTTTATGTAAATGTGCTTTTCTGATGTTACTTTCCTTGTCCAGGTAGATCATGATTATGAACAGAATTCTAAAGAAATCAAGATGGTTGTAACTACTTTTGTGTCACTATTTAGTTTTTGAAAGAGGAAGAACAAAGTGTGAAAGCAGGGCGTTGTTGTTGTCAAGTTGTGTCCAGCTGTGTGACCCCACGCCAGGCCCTTCTGTCTTCCACTGCCTCCTGGAGTTTGGTCAAATTCATGTTGGTAGCTTTGATGACACTATCCAGCCATGTCGTCCTCTGTCGTCCCCTTCTCCTCTTGCTTTCACACGTTCCCAACATCAGCAATCCGTGAAGGGGAGCATGGCATTAAGAAGGCAAAAATGATTACTACAGGACCTCAGTGTTGACAATGTGAAGATATTGAAATTATTAAAGATTTTGTGTCCCTCAGTTCAGTCATCAAGCCAAATGGAGATTGCAAGCAAAAAAATCAGAAGAAGACTGAAACTGGGAAAGGAAGCAATGAATGACTTAGAAATGATGCACAAGAAAGCCCACATATGGTTTGCTGCAGACAAGCAGACCAAGGACATGGATTTCTGGAACCGTGTCCTGTGGTCCAATGAGACCAAGATAAACTTACTTGATCCAAATAGCGTCAAGCGTGTATGGTGGCAACCAGTTGAGTACAAAGAAGTGTGTTGTGCCTGCAGCCAAGCGTGGTGGGAGTGTCATGGTCTGGGGCTGCATGAGTGCTGCCGACACTGGGGAGCTACAGTTCATTGAGGGAACCATGAATGCCGACATGTACTATGATGTACTGAAGCAGGGCATGATCCTCTCCCTTCGGAGACTGGGCCGCAGGGCAGTATTCCAACACGATAACGAAACCAAACACACTTCCAAAACGACCACTGCCTTGCTATAGAAGCTGAGGGTAAAGGTGACGGACTGGTCAAGCATGTCTAAACCCTATTGAGCATCTGTGGGGCATCTGAAATGGAAGGTGGAGGTGCACAAGGTCTCTAACATCTAAGAGCTCTGTGATGTCCTCATGGAGCAGTGGAAGAGGATTCCACTGTCAACCTGTGAAGCTCTGGTGAACTCTATGCCCAAGAGGTTTAAGGCAGTGCTGGAAAATAATGGTGGCAACACAAAATCTTGACACTTTGTGCCCAGTTTGGACATTCTCACTTAGGAGTGTACTCACTTTTGTTGCCAGCGGTTTAGACATTAATGGCTGTGTGTTGCATTCTTTTGAGGGGACAGCACATCGTACACTGTTATACAAGCTGTATACTCACTGCTTTGCATTGTAGCCAAGTGTCATTTCTTCAGTGTTGTCACATGAAAAGATAGACTAAAATATTTATGAAATGTGAGGGTGTGTACTCAGTTCTGTGATATACTGTAAGTCAGCTCTGACTTGACGGCACAGGACACACACAAAGATGTGTCACTGGAGGCCAAGATCATGATCATTCACACTCTTGTATTCCTGACTGCTATGTATGGGTGTGAAAACTGGATAATATAGAAAGCTAACTGGAAGGCAGTTGATACATTTGAAATAGATACCCTGGGCTGCTGGAAAGATAAACATGAGCAGATTGAACCTGAACTGTTTCTGGAGGCAGAAATGATGAAACCTTTGGGCACTTTATGAAAAGAAAAGATTCCCTGGAAGAAACAGTGATGCTGGAAAGCAGCAGGAAAAGAGGAAGGCCGTATAGGAGATGGATTGAGTCCCCGAAGGAAGCCACAGGTTGAATTTGCAAGAGCTAGGCAGGGTTGTTGAGGACAGGACATTTTCAAGATTGATTCATACTTTGGAAATGTCTTGGAGGCACATAAAATCTGTACCCCATTCCCAAATAATCACTTGAATATCTGATTACTGAATTACTTAGTCTGAATCAGATTCTATTCATGCTGCACTTCATTTTGTGTTCAAAGGAGGATTTATGGGTTGCACTTAGGTGTATTTGTGAGACATGGGGAGGATCCAGATGAAAATGATCAGTTTGAAGATGTGTGGCCTCTTGCAATGGGGATGATTTCAGGAACAGAAACTGGTATTTTTAAAAAAGAACCTTAAAACCAACCCAAATAAATGTGGGATAACCTTTCTACATAGTTGAACCCTTTGTTGACCAATTTTATATCTGCATCATGAGCGTTTTCAGACACAATTTCTTGTAAAGCATGACAAGTGGAATTGTTAAGACACAGTCTCAATCCTTTCTGAAAAATTACCACACCAGTTGCGACAGACATTTGTTGACTTTGTGTTGACTTTACAACCACATGCAAAATTGGGTAAATCAATTTTCCGTTTAGGGGCAAAATACAAGATTGTTTTATTCAGCATTTTTATTGGGAAGCATTTTGAACTAGACAGTAATTGCTGTCTTTCCCCGGTATCAGTACAGCTATATTTTCTTCTGGGCTTGAACTGCATTACTTACATCTCATGGAAAAGACCACGAAAATGATATGTTGCTATAGGAGGCAAATTTAAACCACTCAGCTCTACTTCCTTGAGCAATAGAACAGCAATCATTCCCATGTCATAGACAGAACACTTATGTGATGTGCAATGTTTGTTTGATTGCATTGTTATTTGGAGTGCTCAGTGAAGTGTGCTTAAGAAAAAGTTATTGTCGCACATGTCATGAAATCAGTAAGACAATACAGTTATCTGTCTGTGTTTTGCTTTGGGATCAAGAAGATGCCTAGGCATGCTTATTAAAGAAAAATTGAACTGTGTTTTGATTGCTTGAAAATTACCAAATAGCACTGGCAGAGTATGCGTTGAACAGGAAGACTTGGAGATTTTAGTTGAGTTGAATAGTGGAGTTTTGCTGTGCTTTTTTCATCTGTAAATTATTCTATAAACCATCAATGCCTACAGCAAGGGTAAAACAGATTTTATTTTCACTTTATTCTCATTGAAATAACTCTTGATGACATTTTGTTTCTTAATGTACCAGTTGGAAAGGTTTTTCCAGGTCTATTATTGAGAGAATAATTTGTGGTTCTTATTGCAGCTCAGGCATCAGAGCCTTGTTGCAGACAATAGTTACCTTGTGAAGTAATCTCTTCAAGAGCTAAGTATGCAATTGTAAAAACAAATGACAAACAAATTGTAGATGAATTTTCATTCATGTATTTAATTGAAAGAGACATTAAAAGTACTGCACTCAAAGTTTTATGTTACTTAGTTTAGCACATTTATATTCAACATCACATACTAAATAAAGGAACAGTTAATATTGCATATGAAACTTTTATACAATTGTTCCAAATTGAATCTGTGGCACTTGTACAAAGGTTGCCAGGGTTATTATGCATTGAATCTATATCAGTTGGATCTAACCATTAGATCTTGCCCTTAGTATTTTCTCACCACTCCTTTCTTCTGTAGGCCCTCTGGGACTGGTAGCTTGTTGAAGGTCTCAAAGGCTGTCTTTTCTCCCACAAAGGTACAGTGGGAAACACCTGGCACCTGCAGCAAGGTGCCCCATCTCAATTCAGCCCACTACAGACTTCCATAGAATTACAATACAGGTAATTCTGAGTCTGACTTGAAAAGCCTTGATCTAAGAGTGCTGAATTTACTTGGTCATCCTTGGTTTGTTTTTTCATCTAACAGCTGAGAGCAAATATTTTCACAATATGGCTTAGTAAATCATAACCAACACCCAGAAAAAAGGACACCCATAGTTTCGCTCATAAAGGGAAAAAATGTTTTCCAATGTCTAATAAGGTAAAGGTAAAAGTTCCCCTTGACAATTTGTCTAGTCGTGTCCGACTCTAAGGGGGTGGCGCTCATCTCCGTTTCCAACCCATAGAGGTAGCATTTGTCCAAAGACAATCTTCCATGGTCACGTGGCCAGCGTGACTAGACACGGAATGCCGTTACCTTCCCGCCGTGGTGGTACCTATTTGCCTACTTGCATTTACATGCTTTCGAACTGTTAGCTTGGCAGGAGCTGGGACAAGCAACGGGAGCTCCCTCCATCGCGTGGATTTGATCTTACGACTACTGGTCTTCCGACCTTGCAGCACAGAGGCTTCTGCAGTTTAACTCGCAGCGCCATCATGTCCCCTCAATAACAGTGTAATATGACTAAATTTCACAACAGCCACACCTATTAGTAGTTTTCCTTACTTGATTGTGAAAGATC